GAGTGCCCATTGAACCTTCAACTTATCTTATAAGTCCTCAATACATCTCTTAAGGCGAACTTTGTCCTAGATAGAGGTAAGCTAGCACACCAGCCAACCAGGTACTCTTGGGAACCAGATGATCACCAAAAACAATTGGAGTCGATTCCTGAAATTTCGAAGCCGGGCTTGGAACTAGTTAAAAGAATCGGTTCCTAAAATTTTGAAACCGGGCTTGGAACTGTCGAGGACTAAATTCGGGTATCCAAAGTTATACTTCATAATTATATATACTACATGATGTTAAGAAAATACAAATTCTAGTATCTTAAATTAATCGTTTATTTCATTTTAAAGCTTTAATAATTGCATTTGTTAACAGTTTTAGGCTAATTTATGTTTAGGAAAATGTTATATAGGCTACATATAAGGAACTAAAATTGAAAAAAAAAAAAATGAATAGCATTAATTACATTGATTCATGCGTGATTTTATCATACATTCCTAAATTAATACAAGTACCAAATTAGGATATATATTAAATGTTGTTCTTAGCCCTAAGAATTACATATACCCTAATTTTTTGTTCAAGATTAATTAGTATGCCTTTTGGGTTTCACTTGTTTGGGGGTTTTTTATGTGTCCTACGGGAGAGTTACAATTTCCTAGAATGCTCCTTCCTTCGCCTGTACCTGCACAAGTAACGGAAAACTCCGGCTGGGGCTGGGGTGTTCCGCCTCCGAAGATTAAGTTAGTCTCTTTCTAAATGTGGAAATAAGACAATAAATGCTTCTCGATTTGAGAGCGTTTTGCAAAGGGATTTGTGTTTTGTTGGTTTTTGGGAAAATGATTCGATTCCCATTAATGAGGTCTGCCCTTACTATTTATAGTAGGGGAGAGCTGTACCTCAATTAGGGTACAAGGACACGTGTCGCAAAGGGATTGGGCCTTTGCTGACCGTTGCAAGCTTGACACGTGGCAGGCCTTTATTGGGCCACGTGTCTTAGGGTATTTTTACCTTAAACATCACTAATTAATTAAATATATTGAACATATATATTCTTTTAAATGCATACATTAGTATTTATTGAATAAGTTGGATACCCAGACAGTTCTAGAAAAGTTGGAAATTAGAACCACACATATTTCGATGGCAAAAGGTTGGAAATTGAAACCAATTGATTGCAATTGAGAGATTATTATATCACTAGGCGAAAAATGTAAATCCGCACCGGTTCAAAATCCCCCTTTTGCACTGGTTTTGAACCGGTTCGGATTTGAGGGATGCTAAAAAAAACACTTTTCGCACCGGTTCAAAATCGGTGGGAAAACTAAGAATTAGCACTAGTTAACCGGTGCTAAAAGTAAGTGCCACGCTTTTTGTATTTTGGTTTTAATTACAATTGGCGGCGGTTAACCGGTGCCCATTATACCTTCAAAAAATAAAAATAAAAATTGCAATTTTTCCACTCAAAATTCATCAGACAATGAACCCAGAAACCCAGAATCGTTTCCCTAAAAAAAAAGAAATACCCAAATCATAATATACATTAATCACACACACACACACACACACACACATTCATCAAATAAATTGTTATTTTACAAATTATAAAATAATAATAAAAAAAAAAAAAAAAAAAAAAAACAAAACAAAACAAAACACCAAAATCTTTGAATCTTGAATCTTTCTTCAATCAAGGAGTCGCTGCAGTTGATTTTTTTTTTTTTTTTGAAGGAATACTACCTGCAAAATTGTAACGATAGATTAGAGAAGAGATTAGAGAGAAGAACGGGAGATCCCAGAAAAAACCAAAAAAAAACCCAGAAAAAACCCAGAAACCCAAAAGACCCAAAAAAACCCAGATTTTAGAAACCCAGAACCCAGAAAAAACCCAGAAATAATCGAGAAAAAAACCCAGAACATAAAAACCGATACACAAAGCTAAAGAACACAGAAACCCAGAACCCATAAAAAACCCAAAAAAAAACCCACAAAAACCCACAAAAACCAAGAAAAAACCGAGAAAAAACCTAGAAACGCAGAAAAAATCCAAAACCCAGAAACCGAAATGCAAAGCTAAAGAACCCAGAAACCCTAACCTCAAATTTCTGATTTTTTAATCGAAAATTCAATCAAATTTGTTGTGGTTGACAGCTGCGGCGATGGTTGTTGTGGTGACGGCGGCGGCGATGGTTATTGTGCTTGGTTTCGAAATTCGATTAAGGCAGGTGGTTGTTGAGAAGAGGAAGAAGAACGAGAGATCAGAGAAGAACAAAGAGATCAGAGAAGAACGAGAGATCAGAAGGAAGAGAAGAAAAAAGATCAGAGAAGAGATGAAAGAGATCAGAGATGAGATGAGAGAGAAGAACGAGAACAGAGATGAGAGAGAAGGAGAGCAAAATAGATGCGGATGAAAAAGAGTTAAGGGTTTATAAGATTAAAGAGCCCGGATTTTCTTTTTTATAAAACTAAGGAATTAGCACCTGTGAACCAGTGCGAAATCTCTTTCTCCCCTTTTTTTTTCTTTTTTAATCAAACCAGTGCGAAAAAGATAATTTTGCACCGGTTTGGTTGGAACCGGTGCGAAAACTCTATTTTCCAATCCCGCCTATTTTTTTAGCACCGGTTTTCATAAACCGGTGCACATTGTGCGGTGCCTATTTCATTTTTTTCTACTAGTGTATACACTCGGGTGCACTATACATCCATGAGCATTATGCTCTCATTTTGATGATTGTTTTTCATTTAATTATCAAATGAGCAAAAACTAATTTTCTGTTAGTTAGGTGCACGGTACACCCGGGTGTGTATAAAATATTTCAATTGCGATTGGTAAATAGTTTTCTTAACTGGAATGAAACCGCAGTATTTTGAAATCACCAGTTACTAACTAGCTAGCTAATTCCAATAATTCTGATTTAAAAAATTACCCAATTTTTGCTCACTATTAATTGCTTAGTCCTAGATCGAATTTGGTCGTACGTGTTTCATTTGTCTGATTTAACTTTAATCTAATGATCTAATAACATTCTTATGATTTCATTTGTCATGATGCTATATAAAATAATTTTATTGCTTGCAGAAAGCTAAATCTGCAATAGGGAAAGGCAAGGCGGCTATGCTATGTTACCAGAGAGAAACTGTAAACTGGCAAAGAAGGTTGTGGCTGTGGTGTATCTTCAGCAACTGTAAACTGGTTTGGCCACTAGAGAGGATATTCTGAAAAACTACTTTTGTATAATATGATGTAGGGTTTTTGAAAGAGGGTTATATTTGTCCTTTTTGGCGTTCCCCTTTAATGATTACGTTTTTTATTTTATTTTTTTATTTTTGCACATTTCCCTCATACACATGGATATGCAACTATCCTTATTTATCAAAATATTTATATACTTTCAATGCTATTATTCCTATTTACAAAAATATTCACATACTCACAATACAAATATTCCTATTTTCAAAAAGTTAACAAAATGACGTATTACTTGACATATGTGATATTTAATCATTTTTTCCACTATCTTTCTTCCTTATTAACCGTGTAGAATCAGTAAACGTAACTTTCTTTCAGGAACGAAGGGATTAATATCTTTAATTAAATGAAATAAACATTATAAAAACATACCCTAAATAGAAATGGTGCAATCAGGGGCGGAGGGAGGGCACCTGGTAGGGCACGTACCCACTACCAGGATTTTTTTATTTTATTTTATTTATTTATTTATTTATTTTTAAGCATTAATTTTTTTTTTTTTAATTTTGATATATTTTTTTTTATCTAACAAGATTTGCACACAATTAACCACTGTAATTTGCTAGCGGGTCTAGTATTTTTAATCCTAGCAAGTTAATACAAAGTACTTTAGATGCATGTGTGGATAAGTATTGTGATTAAAATTATCTATGCCTTTTGTTTTACATTAGATTGTCCATTTTGCCCTTTTTAAATACTAACTCTATGTAATCTTTAATCATGCTAGCTAGTAATGAGTGAGCTTCCTTGATTGTAACAATATAAATTGATACTCCGTAATGATAATGTAGATTTTCCCTCATACTGAAATGTTATTACTTGTCAATGTTGTGCTCACTTTTGTTTATTTTAATAGTAACGGTGGTTCATATTTTGCTCCATGTTTGATAATAATTATTTTATATAATGATATTTCTTCGTAATGGTAGTCTATGTTAATTGGCTATTTTATTTTTTTAATATTTAATGTGATATCGAATTATATTATTTGATTTATATTAGTTGGTGGTGCCCTACCAACGTTAATTTATAAAATTTTGGCTCCGTTACTGGGTGAAATTAATATGCAATTTTCTAAAAAGAAAAATGGTGCAATTAAAAAAAAAAAATAAAAAAAAAAGGAAGTATATCATTAGCTGAAGGGAGCAATATTATTAGCATTATAGCATAACTAAGACTTGGATTTAGGGTTTAGCTTATCTCAATATGTAGACCTTTACCTCCAAATCATAAAAAAAAAAAAAAAAAAAAAAAAAAAAAAAAAAAAAAAAAACTCAAATAACAATGCATCATACACTCTATTGATGCCTTTCTACTAGGGCAAACAAATATCTGATGCAGGGAGTCGTATTGATGATATTATAGCTTGATCCCAAACACTTGGAGTCTTGGATGTACTGGATCAATCTCCTTGATTTTGCATCATGGACCCACTTTATGTGAGAGCTTTATTAGTCAAATAGGATAATAAAAGAGGGACGGAGGGAGTATGATTTAACACAGCTCTTTATAAAATAAAATTATTCCCTTATACAATAACGTAGATTTTTGCCTCCAAGTCTTTCATTTCTATACTTTTAAATAACATATACTCCGTATCAAATAATTCAAAGTATTTATTCCAACACCTACAATATGATCAAGTTGGTCTTTGGTCCTGCTTAAATATTATATATGTGCATCAACGTATATAGCCAATGTAGGGTCTAAGAGCAGGCATACATCTTCTTGATAATGCAGAATTTCTCTTTCGAAGAAATGATGGAAAATGAATTTACAAATTGATCAAAAGGAGTGGTTCAAAGTGACGGAATATTTACCGACCTCTTAGCTTTTTTCTATTATATAAGACACCTTTGCTCTTCCTTACCTTCCATCGATCGATCAACTCGACCTTGAGATATTAGAAATTTGTTCAATCACTAACAGTATTTTAGTAGTGTTCTAAGGGAAGAAATGGCTCAGCTTCGAAGTGTTGAAGGCCAAGTTGAGCTCAAGTGTCATGCTGACAATTTCTTTGATGTTTGGGCTGGCAAAGCTCACCTTATTTCCAAAATAAGCCCTAACAAAATTGCCAAAGTTGAGCTTGTTGAGGGCGAGTGGAATAAGGTTGGTGCTGTCATTAGCTGGACATATCTCATCGGTAAGTATTATATCATACACGTACTGACTTACTTAATTGATTGGTCCTATACTAGTTGTATGTATTTTATTCACTTGACTTTTACTTGATAACTCGTTTATATATATTTTATTATTCGAACTAACATAATCATAATAAAGTAAGAAGTGCACGTGCTATACCAATATATATAATTATATATCAACATCTCCAAACATTTTATATATATACTACGTATATAGCTTTATAATAAGTGCTACAAATAATTTCCATCTGGATTTGCCACTGCAGATGATAACGGTGAAACTTCATTAATTTCCGCCAAGACAAGAGTTGAAGAGCTGAATTTCAAGAACAGGTCGTTGAGCTAAAATATCCTTGACGGATATGTCATGCAAAGTTACTACAAGTCCTTCAAGCCCAAGATGGAAGTCATTCCACGGCGAGGGCTGCATTATGAAGTGGAGCATTGAATATGAGAAGATGAACGAGGATGCTGCTGAACCAAAAATGCACGTTGCTTTATCACTCGAGCTTGCAAAAGAAATCGATGCTCATGGTTGCAGCGCTTGATGATGAAGATAAGCCATTGAAGTTAATTTTTGTGTGATTTGATTAAGAAGAAATAATGATAACAGCTGAGTATTTATACAAGAAAGTAAATAGCATAATTTCCTCAACAAATTAGTATTAGTTGTAACAAACTAGTGAGCTGGCAAAGTTTGTGTTTGTTATAGCTGATTTTCTCTTTACTCTGCTTCTAAACTGTTCTCAACATAACTAAAATTTTAATTCTAAGGTTTATGCGTGCAATGTATATCATGCATTGATGCATCTTCGTTGTATAAATTAATGAAGCTATTTTCAATTACAGTACATATTATTGGCTAAATTCCCCAATTGAATCAGTACGCATGCAATTTTTATATTATCGCGCACCAATTGGTAAACAAAATACTAGAAGGGTTTACAACAGTAATGCAAAAAAAACACTTGTCTATATAATAAACATCCATATAAATAATGTGAAAGTGTAGCAAAAATGATTAGAGGCTCTACCCAATTAGGGAGCCATGACATCCATATACATAATAAACATGATGAATGTACACAATTATATTTTCATAACATGTAATTTAAGTTATCATGGTAAAGAGCTTATACACACAATAATTAGAAAAATGTTCACCAGTAAAAAGCAATAATTAGAAAAATATATATTCAATGCAACTAACCGTTAAAAATAAATAAATAAATAAAAAATAAATATCATGAAATTATTTTAAAACAAGATCCGTTTATAAGTTCATATTTTAACTTAGGTGTATTATATATCCTGATTTTCACTTATCTAAACTTATCTTAATTTAACTGAAATTATCTGAACTTAACTGAACATATCTGAACTTATTAGACCTTATTAAAAAACTTATTTAGTTGTAATAAAAACTTAGGTAACCCTTATCAGATTTTATTTTTCCTAAACTGAACTTATCGATCTAAACTAAACTAAACTTATTCAAACTTATTAGACATAAAATAAATGAAAATAAGATGAACAGAACATACCCTTATGTTTTGACCTGATCTAACTTACATATGCATGTATGAATATTAATTATCATACAATATTCATTCAAAAATTTATGTAGTTAAAATATAGTTTTTAATTTGGACGTGTCCCTAAAATTTTATTCAGGGTTTAGGAAAAAAAAAATTTGTACAAAACTCGAGTGACTCAAGCATTTTGCGCTAAAATTTTCTAATCTCTTACATCCACTATATCATAATAATTGACTTATATAGTCAAACTTGACACATATATCAATACACGAGTTTGAGTATTAAATTAACTTGACTATAAAACATTAATAAAAATTATTTTAAAAGTTAATATTATTAAACGTCACATCAATATCTTTTTAAAAGCATTTTTACATGGTAAAATCATTTTAATGTATTACTCAAATATAATCAATGTTAATATATGAATAAAAAAAGGTAAAAGTGTGCAGTGTTAATAATTTTGAAACAAAGGGAATATTAATTATTGCACTCAACAATTAAAGAAAATTCAACTTTATCTATTAGGGTAAACAAATATTGAATAATGTAATATTGACAACATTATAGCCTGAGTTAGACATGAATTAAGGCTTAGTTCTTGTAAAAAAAAAAAAAATAGTTGTTCCATAATACAATGTAAATCGTTGCCTCCAAAGTTCAAATCCGTTTCTATTAAAAAATAAAAATAAATCATGTAAAATTACATACATCAAATAATTCCAAAGTTTATTCTAACATCTACAACTTGATCTAGTTGGTCTTTGGTACTGCTTACATTTTATGTGCATCACAGCATGAGTGTATATTATGTTCAAATATTCAATAGTCTAAAAGGAAACATTATTGATGCTCTTCTCAATAATTCAAATATTTCCTTTTATATACGGAAATAATGGAGAATGAATCGTGAATGAATTAACTTTAAAGGAGTGGTTCAAAGTGATGGAAATCTGGAATAAGTATATTATCCTTTTCTAATGAGAAAAACTCTTATGGTATACTTTCTCATCTTATATAAGACCCTTGCACTTCTTTACCCTCCATAGATCAATCGGCTTAACCTCGATTGAGAAAATCTATAATTTGATCACTAATATTAGTGTTCGAGAGGGAAAGAAATGGCTCAGCTTCAAAGGGTTGAAGGCCAACCTGTGCTCAAATGTCATGCAGACAAATTCTTTGACATTTGGGCTAGCAAAGCACACCTTATTCCGAAAATAAGCCCTCACAAAGTTCCTAACGTTGAGCTTGTTGATATTAGATGTTAATCTAGAAAAATCTATGTAAAAAAATCTAAACAAGAAACTTGTAGAACATGTTTCTAGAATATTGTTAGTAAAAATCTTAGGAAAAATCTAGAATTAGCAACCTAGATTAATCTCAAGAATTATCTAGATATGAATGTAATATGCTAGAAAGTGTATAATACTCTAAGTTTAGCTAGAATAGCCTAGAAACTAGGAGCTTGCAATGTCGGTACAATCACCGACTTACCAAGGCTATAAATAGCCACTTCTTGTACTTTGGAAAAGAAAGTAATGTAAGCTATATTCACTTAACAATTCAAAAATATTGTCTTATTATCCAACTCATCTTTACTCCTCTCCTAACTTGCAATAATAACCCACTAACTTTCGCTAATATTTCCAACATTTGGTATCAGAGCCACTCAAATCCTAAGCCTCCAATTTCCATCCATCATCTAAACTCCATATCAATACCTTCAAATGGCCTCCCCTACTCCAAACACAAACACAAACACAAACATTTTCAATCACCAAGTTAATTGGGTACCTACATTTAAGGGGGAGAAGTATGATCAATGGAGCATGTAAATGAAGTCCATCTTTATCACCCAAGATATATGGGAAATTATACAAGATGGATATGAAAAACCCAAAGATGTCAATAAAGAGGCTTCTTGGGATGACACTAAAAAGTGTCAATACAAACAAAACAAAAGAAGGGATCATTATGCCCTATCTATAATATATCGTGGAGTTGATGAAACAATTTTACCAACAATCATGGCTGCTACAACGGCCAAGGAGGCATGGAGCATCCTGGAGACAAAATATAGAGGCTCGGAAAAGGTAATTCTCTTTAAACTTCAATCTTTATGGGGACAATTTGATAGTATGCAAATGACCGATAATGAATCAATTCAATCATATGTTGACCGAGTCACAAATATTGTTAACCAAATTCGATCTAATGGAGATACCATTGAAGATGTTAAAATAATCAGGAAAATATTAAGAACTCTTAATAGAAAATTTGATCATGTTGTGGCTGCTATAGAGGAAGCAAATAAAGATTTAAACTCACTAACCATGACTGAGCTAATAGGCTCTCTATTAGCTCACGAAGAAAGAATTCGTAGATTTGAGGAGCAGCCAGTAGAGCAAGCTTTTCAAGCTAAATTAAAATTTTCTAATAATGGTGAAAATAAAAATGGCCACGGAAAAAAATTTCAATCAAAAAGAGGAAATTTTAATAACCGTGGTAGGGGGAGAGGAAATTACAAAAATCAAGGGAACCGAGATAATAATCAAAATAGCTCATATTGTATATTATGCAAGAAAAATGGTCACAACACAGTACAAAAGATTGTCGGTACAAATGCAAAAAATGTACCCGACATTGTCACTTCGAAAAAGATTGTTATTTCCGGCAAAAAGAAGAGGTCAATTTCACAGAAAATAATAACTCTCATGATCAGTTATTTTACACATGTTTAAATGCTCAAGAAGAGCAAAATGATGTATGGTACATAGATAGTGGTTGTTCCAATCACATGACCGGCAATAAAAATTCATTTGTTAATATTGATGAAATATAAAATCACAAATAACACTTGGTGATGGAAGTAATCAAGAAGTTGTCGGAAAAGGAACAATCGTTGTTAAGACTAAAAATGGCTCCTCTAAATACATCCCCGATGTCTTTTATGTCCCTGGGCTTGCTCAAAATTTGTTAAGTGTAGGCCAATTAGTCCAAAAGGGCTACATGGTAAAATTTGATAATAACCAATGCCACATATATGATAAGAAAAAGGGGCAATTAATCACTACTACTAAAATGGCTCCAAATAAAATATTTCCACTTAAAATGCAATTGGAGTCTAATACTGCCCTAAGTTCAATAATGGATGAATCCACCTTGTGGCATTTAAGATTCGGGCATTTAAATTTTGACAGTTTAAAACTGTTAAGAAATAGAAAAATGGATTGGGCTACCACCAATCACTAATGAAAAGAAAATATGTGAGGGTTGTGTCTATGGCAAAATGCATAGATCACCATTCTCAACCTCATCTTGGAGGGCCAGAGCTCTATTAGAACTTGTCCATGCAAATATATGGGGCCCTACCAAGAATCCGTCTCTTGGCGGAAAAAGATATTTTCTGTTGTTTGTTGATGATTTTTCACGCATGATGTGGGTATATTTCTTAGAGAAAAAATCAGAAGCATTATCCCACTTCATGCAATTCAAAGCCCTCACAGAAAAACAAAGTGGGCATTCAATAAAGGTTCTACGAACCGATCGTAGGGGAGAATTCACAAGTAGTGAGTTCAACAAATTTTGTAAAGAGCATGGAATTAAAAAGGAGCTCACAGTCAGCTACACACCACAACAAAATGGTGTGGCGGAAAGGAGAAACAGGACAATTGCTAAAATGGCCCGCAGTATAATGCAAGGTAAAAATCTACCTAAATACTTTTGGGGCGAGGCTGTTCACACAGCTATCTACATTCTCAACAGATCTCCCACAAAATCAGTCAGAAGCATGACACCCTATGAAGCCTGGCACAAGAGGAAGCCAACAACTGAGCACCTTAAAGTTTTTGGGTGCATTGCATATGCCCACGTCCCGAAGGAGAATCGAGACAAGCTCGATGGAAAAGGAGAAAAATGTATCTTCATTGGATACAGTGACGAGTCTAAAGGATATTGTCTCTATCAGCCCGAATCCAAAAAGTTGATCATCTCAAGAAATGTCATATTTGACGAAGGAGCACAATGGCAATGGAATAAGAACAATCTAGAGGTTCCAGCAGCAGCCATTCCACCACCAAGCCCAGATCAAGGAGTAGGCCCAAGTCAGTCACCAACACAATCATCAGCAAGTCCATCACCATCAAACAATCCAAGATCACCATCAAGATCAAGTTCAACACCAGAAACAAGTCCAAGACAAGAAATTCGAAGATCCCATCGAGATCGGCGTCCCCCAGGCTACTTAGAAGACTATCAATGCAATCATGCAATCATGGCACTCTTCGCAGGCGAACCACAAAATTTTCAAGAAGCTGCTCAAGATGAAAAATGGATCAATGCCATGAATGAAGAGATCAAGATGATAGAGAAGAATAACACATGGAAGCTCGTGGAGAAGCCACAAGATAAAGAAGTTATAGGCCTCAAATGGGTCTACAAGACAAAGTTCAATGAAGATGGCTCCATCCAAAAGCACAAGGCACGTCTCGTAGTCAAAGGCTACTCACAGCAACCAGGCATTGACTTTAATGAGACATATGCTCCGGTGGTCCGCATGGAGACAATCAGGTCAGTCCTTGCCCTTGCTGCACAGTTCAAGTTATCAGTTTATCAACTTGATGTCAAGTCTGCATTTCTCAATGGGGAGCTAGAAGAAGAGGTGTATGTTGAACAGCCTCAAGGATATGTAATCGAAGGCAAAGAAGACAAAGTTTATCGCCTTCAAAAGGCCCTCTATGGGCTCAAGCAAGCTCCTCGAGCATGGAACAGCAAAATTGATGGCTATCTTCTCCAAAATGGGTTTACAAAAAGCCCAAGTGAGCCATCACTCTATATCAAGACTCAAGGATCAGATTTTCTCATCTTATGCCTATATGTAGATGACCTCATCTACACAGGCACCGATCCAAGGATGATAGAAGAATTCAAGAAGGCAATGATGTCAGAATATGAGATGACAGACCTCGGAGCTATGAAGTACTTCCTCGGCATGCAAGTCAAACAAAGTCCAGGTAAAATAATTCTCTCACAAGAAAAATATGCTGAAGATATGCTCAAGAAATTCAACATGGACGATTGTAAGCCAATGGCTACACCAATGGCTACAAATGAGAAGCTCTCGAAGTATGATGGCAAACAGAAGATGGATGCATCACTCTATCGAAGCTTGGTCGGATCTCTCATTTATCTCACAAACACAAGACCTGACATTGTTCATGCAGTTAGCATCATTTCAAGGTTCATGAGTGACCTAAGCAAAGATCACTTAGTAGCAGCCAAAAGGATACTTCGGTACATCAAAGGAACAAAGAGCTATGGAATAATGTACGAGTCCAAGAACAACTGCAGGCTTAAAAGCTACACAGACAGCGATTGGGCAGGAAGCATCGACGATCGAAGAAGTACAAGTGGATACGTGTTCCAGCTAGGATCCAAGTCTATCTCATGGTCATCAAAGAAGCAAGCAACAGTGGCACTATCATCATCTGAAGCTGAGTACATATATCAGCAACAAGTGCGGCATGTGAAGCAGTATGGCTAAGGAGAATCCTAAAAGATCTACAACAAGGCACAGAAGACCCAACTACTCTCTATTGTGACAACATGTCAGCCATAGCAATGACAAAGAATCCGGTCTTTCATAGTCGCACGAAGCACATCGAGATACGACACCACTTCATCCGAGAACTAGTCGAGAAACAAGAGATCAAGTTACAATTCTGCAAGACGGGGGAGCAACTCGCAAATATATTTACCAAGGCACTTCCAACAGAAAAGTTCATCGAATTTAGAAGACAGCTTGGAATTCAAGATTTTTCAGATTAAGGGGGAGTATTAGATGTTAATCTAGAAAATCTATGTAAAAAAATCTAAACAAGAAACTTGTAGAACATGTTTCTAGAATATTGTTAGTAAAAATCTTAGGAAAAATCTAGAATTAGCAACCTAGAATAATCTCAAGAATTATCTAGATATGAATGTAATATGCTAGAAAGTGTATAATACTCTAAGTTTAGCTAGAATAGCCTAGAAACTAGGAGCTTGCAATGTCGGTACAATCACCGACTTACCAAGGCTATAAATAGCCACTTCTTGTACTTTGGAAAAGAAAGTAATGTAAGCTATATTCACTTAACAATTCAAAAATATTGTCTTATTATCCAACTCATCTTTACTCCTCTCCTAACTTGCAATAATAACCCACTAACTTCCGCTAATATTTCCAACAGTTGAGGGGGAGTGGAATAAGGTTGATGCCATTTGTAATTGGACTTATCTTATGTGTAAGTATTACATCTTACATGAACTTGGTCTTAGACTATGGTTATGATTCAATCACCTGATTTTTACTTATCTATTATTTTATTTTATTTTTTCTGAGTTAATCAATAGTTAAGGGTATTATATGGAAAAGGGAACAAAATAGTTTAGATCAATGCTGAAAATTTTTCTTAATATATGTTAAATATCTTGTTATAGTGATTTTAATACAGTTGATATGTCATCTTAAATTTATACAATATTACTAATAAAGATAGAATAATTATTTTATAGCAAGAAAATTTAACATTGCAAAAAATATTATATTTTACTAATATATAATTAGCTTGGTGATATGATATTAACTGTCAAAGTTGTGAATCAGCCAAATTATGGTATTTAACTTGAAGTGAGGGGAATATATCTTAAACCTAAATGAATAATGATAACTAATATAGATTAACGTTAAAGAATAATACTGTAATTTATTTTTTTTATTTTTTTTGAAGGAGCATGGAATAATACTGTAATTAATTTTGAAGGGATCAACTGTATATCTAAATGTATATGATAAGGTGAACCCACATTAATGTACGGAAAGACAAGAGTTGAGGAGTTAGATTTGGAGAACAGATTGTTCATATACAATATTATTGATGGACATGCCAGGCAAAACTACTACAAGACCTTCAAGGCCAAGATGGAAGTATCACAAAAGGGCGATAACTGCATCATAAAGTATTATGTATACCATGGAATATGAGAAGCTGAATGAAAATGCTCCTGAACCAAATTTGCACATCGATTTTAAGCTTGACCTCGCAAAAGAAATCGATGCTCATCTTTGCAGCGCTTGATGATGATGGTACGCCGTTGTGCATGCCTTCATGCTTATTACGCATGGTGCACAACTGTATGTTCGGTTGATTATATATATGTTTACAACTAGGTGAGCTAAGCTAGCTGCCTTAGTGCCTTACAATAAATAAATGATTATTGACTTGCTATATTTGACAATAGATAAATTTGTCTAAGCTAGTCGATCTTCAAAATATTGCTTCTTCATTATTGTTGTCGTTTATTGGAATGTAACGTAACATTTGATTGTAAGGTTTTACGCGTCTAATGACGTTATTTATTATGCAGTTGTTTTACGTTAAATTTTACTTCGCATGAAAATTTTACATGACTATTACTATACTTAATTTTTATTGACCGATTTTTATTTATATTTCATTATTACTTCTCATCTCACCACATGATCGATCCACATATACTTTTATATATGTGGAACATGTGGTAGGATAAGAAATAATAAAAGTAGAAGGGTATTTATCAATGGTACACCTAAGGTTCGGGTCTTTCTCAATGATACACCTACTCAACTATTCTTTATCAGTGGTACACCCAAGGTTTCACACAGTTGTCAGTGGTACACCTACCGTACCCTTTCCGTTAAAAAAACGTTAGTTTTGACTTT